AGACCAGCCCTGACACAAGTGGAGAACCCGCGTCTCTTACTAAAATACAAAAAATTAGCCGGGCATGGTGGTGCATGGCCAGTGTGAATTCCCAGCTTGCTCAGGAAGGCTGGAGGCAGGAGAATCACTGAAACCCGGGAGAGGCAGGAGGGTTTTGGTGAAACGAAGTCCACGCCATTTGCACTCCAGGATGAGCACAAGGAAGCAAACACGGTCTCGAATAATAAAATAAATAAATAAATAATAAAACTAATAAATAAAATAAGATATGTGCTATCTCTCCTCATAGCCCCGAACTGCCTGTATTCCTAGATTTTATTGGATTTGTATTTAGGACCAGAAATACAGAATAAACCCCTCACAGTTCGTAGTCATTCCCTTCTCTTGGTTCTATTTTTCCCGTTGCCGCCCGACTCTCCAGGTCGTTCGTGACGTCGCCACTCTCTTGCCAGCACCCCAGTATCCTGCACCCGTCTGTCCGTTCTGCCAATCCACCTGGTAGTTTCCCAACTTTGGATCAGCCAGCCATACAGCCCATCTGTCTGTCTCTATGTACCCAGCTGCTAAGGATGGGCTTCAGGAAAATATGCCGCAGGGTGACCTAGTCCAGCACACAAGTATCTCCTCCAGCCTTGGAAATTTATCTTCTGCTTCGGAAACTGAAGGTTCCACCACTTTCCCCTTCCATGGCTATTTCACACCTCCATTTCAAGTCTGTGTGCTCCCTCTCTGCTGCCGCCTTCCTCCCAGCAAACAGCCATTACTAATCAAGAACTGGTTCAGAAGCTAGGCTCCCGTGAGGCTGGGGTGGGAAGATAACTTCAAACAAATCTTAAGTCTCTTGGGTAGGGTTGTTTGATGTAATGGCATTGGCAATCAATTCTGAAACAGTTTAGACATATTTATTCGCTTGAACAAATGAGTAAATGGTGTTAGTGTTGTTAAAAGCCCATTAACTCGTTATTTCTTTTTCTTTTTCTTTCTTTTCTTTTTTTTTTTGAGAAGGAGTTTTGGCGTCTTCTTGCCCAGGCTGGAGGTGCAATGGTTGCCACTCTCAGCTCACTGCAACCTCCACCTCCTGGGTTCAAGTGATTCTTCCTTGCTCAGCCTTCCCAAAGTAGGCTGGGATTACAGCCGCCCACGCACCACGCCTGGGCTATTTTTTTTTTTTTTTTTTTTGTATTCTTTTAGTAGAGATGGGGTTTCATCATGTTGGCCAGGCTGGTTCTAAAACATGTATATGTCTGAACATACATATGTATGTATGCACAAGTATATATGTGCATGTGTGTATGCTTATTCATATATGTAGATAATGTGTGTATGTGTATTCAGCTCTATCTGCTAAAAAGGGCTAAAATCAAATACATCCCATTAGCAATAAGAACATTTTGCACTGAGATCTTGGTCTCTAATATAATCCTCACTAAAAGGAATCAGGGTTCATTAGAGAAATGTCTGGGGCAATGTAGATATGAGATGAGGAGCCTGAAACATTGTGTTATGTCAAAAAGTAAAAAAGTGCTGGAGGCATGTCACAGGATAAAGGAACCAACTTGAAGGAGCTCCCACTGGCCAAATCTCGGATATTAGGCACCAAAATGATGAAGGACATTAACCCATTGAAATTATAACCCACTGAAAAAATAGGAATCATGAGTTCTTAACAATGAGAGAGAAAGAGAGGAAGAGGGCTCTTGTTTAAGAAGAATGAAGCTGAGGTTGATGGTGAATGTAGGA